TATGTAAGAGAAATCCAAAGCTGTATCTTAGGGCAGTGAATTAAGAAGTTCTGCTATGTTTTGCGATTTTCTCAGAAAATGTAAAAATTGGTAGTTCCATCATATACCTAATTGTTTGGTGGAAAAGGGAGGTGGCCAGGATATTGGAATCCAGTATAGCCTTTCTTCAGTCAGTGATCCCATGTGCTTCTTGATTTACTGAAGAACTCTGTGAAATGTAGGAAGTGAAGGGATGTCTAGAGTGACAGCGGTAATAAACAATGAATATGACTATTAACAGGTACGAAGCCACACCCAGCTTGTGATAATTACAGTGGTAAAAACACACTTCTCATTGCCTATTATATGAATAGTTTCTCATCAAATGGTTCTGTTTATGGTATCTTAGGAAAGAGTAAGTAAGGAATCAATTGTATGGCATATTGAAGTGATATGGCTGCTAGATCCCTCATGGATAAAATTGCTCATCTTTGCTCAGAATAATATGTCACATGGATATGTGACTGGGTTAATATTCTGCAGTGTTATTTGGGATTTCTTTAACATTATGGAACCTGACAATAGGACTGTTTATGATATGGCTTGTGAACTACATGGAACTACCCATTAGTCCATTTATTATTTTTATCTAATGCGTGCATACCATCCCACTCTTTATTGTCAAAGTAAACAGCAACATTATACAGATCATAGAAAACACATAAGATATAGTAAGTGGAAGAAAGTGAGATAAGAATCTAGTTTACATCAACACTATGCATGATACCTCTTTACTCTTGCTTACTGTCATTGCTTCCAACATTTCCATACATCAAATCAAACATTGCATTTAACTTTTTAAAATTCTTACCTCACTTTTTTCTAGGAACTTATTAACTCTATCCAACTAAAAAATTCCCAGTCTGTTTTTTTTCTCCATCAATTTATTCTTCTTTTATATATTTGTTTTGTAATTTGATGTTCATTCATGCTGTCATGCTGTCTATATAATCGAGCCCTCATCAAAATACTTCTTTCAAATTAGTCAGTTTTATTATTCAATTAATGTTCCTTTAGCATCCAATCATTCATGACTCTATTTTTGTTTGAACATGTATAATTCTTAAATATAACATTCTAATTGTTCATCACTATGATACCCCAAAAGGAGCTAGCTGTGTATATTTGCTATTATGTCCCAGATTAGAATGATAGTTTCAATACAAAAATCATGAATCATAATTTTTTGACCAAACTGCTTAATTGACCAAACTGCTAATCAGCTTGATTGGTCACCACATAGTACTATGCCATTTATATAAAATCAAGAAATATTTGAGATATCAGGAATCAATATTTGAGTTTCACATGAGAATAGTTATATAAATAAGAATGTGTTATTGAAGGTACACAATGTTGTTTATTAGGTACTTCTACTTAGAATAGCTTAGTGATGCATGCATTATAAATCAATCAAAAATACATCAACTTTAATAATTAATAAATATGATCATACAACAAAATTTTTGAGTGACCTATAAAACAACCAGACAGCAAGGTAAGATTTAGCTCTACTTAACAAGGCTCCAGTCTAAAATATTAGGGTCAAATTCCAATTTGAAAGCAGTTCCAGGAGTACAACTCCCATTATATAGACTACAAAAATCTGGACAATCACCAGATGACAGAAATGTTTCTACAAAGTACATGCAATTATATCTTTCTTATGAATGCTACCTTGGTCTTTTTAAGAGCAAGTTTTAAGATCTATACTCTGAAGTGAATCATGAAACCTACCTAGCATTTGCTGAAAATCATTTGGATTCTCAGCTAGCAACAAAACATGAACTGCATAGAAAAAGTATATTCACATTTCTTAAGCAATATACCTGTACAATGCTATAAAATTCCTTATACACATGTCTATAGATCAATTAAACAACCAAGGGAATGCCATGCATTCTTATATTAACATTGTGCAATATATTAAATAATTTGTTATATTCCATGCATTCTTTTGCATGCTTCACTTCCATGTAAATCAAATAACTCAGAATCAATTGGATTGGATCAGAATATTTATTTATTTATTTGTATCCTGCCTTTATTGTTTTTACAAATAACATAAGGCAGAAAACATATCCAACAGACCTCCTATTTTCCCCACAACAACAACCTGTACATGTATATATAAGCCTTGATTTTTTTCTTGGAAATTAATTATTCCATCAATTCTATTCTTAGATAAAGCATTATTATCTTCATACAGATTTCCAAAATATTACTTCCAGCATTTTATCATCTCATATTCAGCCCAAATATTTTCTCACTTTTATCTGTAATTATATTTACTCTTTGCTTAACCATCTTCATTCTCTTTCAAAACATTTTTAATTTGTATCCATGTAACTCTGCATTTCTTTTTTAATCTTAAGCATTGCTTACTCTCTTTAACTACTTTGTTGCAACTCGCTCTCTCATCTATCTCTTATCTATCTATCTATCTATCTATCTATCTATCTATCTATCTATCTATCTATCATCTTTCATCTAATGTATGTAATATCTTTCTCTCATCCTTTTTGCAGCAATTATTCTTATGTCAATTCACACCCACCTTCACTCTATCATTCCACCAAGCAACTTTCTTCATTACTGTAAATCCTCACTCTTCTATGCCACTGTGAAACATAGAGCCATCATTTGCACCCTGTTCTAAGCAACTTCCACATTCTCTTGCCTCATGTCTGCTTTTAATTCATTATTTCAGGAGATTAGTGTATTTTCCAAGACTTTCACACACATGTACTATCTCTTTCTATAATTGTTCATTTTCACTCTTTTCTTTCACTTATTTTTTTTTATTCCCACCAATTCTCTGAAATCCAGTTCTGACACTAACTAAAAATACTGTGACAATATTCAGTAAACTTTCTCACCCTTATATCCTTGCTTATCTTTAATCTTTCTTATAAGCAAATTAGACATTAAGCCAGTTATCATTCTTATTTCTTTTTATGTTTCCTCAAGATTCAGTCACTTTTTCTGCATTTTCTCAACTCATTACCAGACATCAGTTTATGTCACCTATGATAGTATTTTTCTTCTATTCACATTAAGAACATTGCACAATTTTTGCACAAACTCATTTCTGGATCTCTGATTATCACCTTTTACAGGAGTGTATCATGCAGTGATCATCAACTTGGGATGGGTGGATTCTAGTTTTATAAACCCAGACATACACCTTGGTTGTATAGATTTTAACATATATTTTAGGCTTTTCATTCATGATTAAACCAATACCTTCACTTCCCTGCATACTGTATTTTCATCCAAGCTAATCCACAAAACAAAATCACATTTATATGGATTACAGCTTTGTTTTTTCTCACACGTTGTCTTAGTGGGAGAGGTTGTGTGAAGGTTTTGGTCAGTCATGGTTTCTACACTATATCAGCATTCTAGATATATATCATAATTTGTTTGGCTTTTTTTATTTGTGGAATCTATTCACTGCATTAATGGCATTTGACTCCAGGTTATTTTCAGGTACATTCATAGGATGTGGGCAATTGTTTCTTGTTTTACAAGATAATTTCTAGAGTAGAAATTTTCACTTGGGAGGACACGGGTAAAAACTGGCTTTATTTATATTTGGCATATTGTCATAAATGTGCCACACAATTAGTGGTGCTTAGCAGTACAGTACAATGATACGATTCAGGCCTACATCTTGTTCTACGTTTTCCCTATCTTACTAAAAAGCAAGAGTTTTTAATCTGACTGCCATACTGTTTTTTCTTAGATTTATTATGTTTATTGGGATTAGCATTATATATACTATCCTAGTGATTTTGGCTCGAGAGTGTTAGAAATATATTAAAAAGCAGGATCATTTCCATAGCAACAATTTGTCCCTAAGCAGCCAATTACCTTGAATACTGGAAATATCATTTGCTAAAATTAGGGAACAATTTATCTGGACCACAACTTTATTTAACATAATACAAATGAATGATGATACACCTTGCATATAGATACAAGAGAGACAGAAAGTTCTTACAATACAAACTGTGAGATATGAGCCTGGACTACAAATAATCCTTCAGGTATCAAAGTATGTCTGAATTATAAACAGATTTGTAGGATAAAGTGTAGGAGGAACCTTGGTTATATTCAGTGAAACTTTATATCCATATATCCAATGAAGAATTGCATACAGTTCTGAACATTATTAGCAGTGTCAAGGAATGTCATACCTATAGCTTTGTGAAAACTCAGGCAATATATTAATGCAATACTATAATCATGGTAATTTAGGAAAACACCAAGAATCAGTTTTGTAATATATTATGTTATAACCGGACCAGCAAAATATTAAGTAACTAAGTAATTAAGTTAAAGGGTATGCTTTCAAAATCTGGAAGTGGGTGAACTTCCAATGCATCAGACTTCTACTCTTAAATGTGCTTAATGAAATCCAAAGGCAATAAAAGGCCTGGATTCAAAAGAAAGGTATGTCTTTTCACTTGTATCAACATGACTCTTTTAACCAAGAATAAATCAGATCTAATAACAGGAAAGATAGAATGATTTTCTATTATTGCAAGCAGTACAAACCCCTTGCTCAAAAACATAGCTGTGCTGCAAGAGAAGTTTGTAGTAGATGCATAGTTTTTACATATTGGCTACGTATTAGGATTCAAGAATGAAGATGCTATGCATGATGATTAGGTCGCAAGCCACTACATTTCATTAGACTGAAAATAAAACACAGAACAAATGAAATAGCAAAATGTCATCTTGTCTACAAGCCTTCCCTACCTTCATTGTAGAAGAAAGTGAAAATCAGCTGCACGCTATAGGTAACAAAATTTCAATGAGAGGTTTTCACAGTTTCAGGAGTGTTAGCAGATGTTCTATTATTCTCTTTCCCTACTGTAAGTCCAGAAAACAAAATAAAGCTTCTGTCCTAATTACCCTTTCAACTGTACCCACTTGATAAAAGTATACTATACCATAATGTTGAGAGTTCTGGGTCTGCTCATTTCATCATCACTCTCCAGAGGCAGGATTTCATGTGACAATTCCTCTTGCCGTCGTCTACAAATATGCACACAATTCCTTTGTACCACTGAACGAAAGGCTTGGAGCAGAACAATGCTGGCAGCACAGCCCATAGCTGCATCCTGAAACCCACAAAATAACTTCTATGTTGATGCTATGCTTAAAAAACAGTAGCTCGTTGTCCCTGCAAACAGCCTACAGTGCAGCTGCAGCCAGCCAGCTCTCTCCAATCATTTCCTTGGGCTGTAATCATCTGATCACAACCAGATAGCTTGGATGCAGATATAGGAAAGATTTGATCCACTGTGTGAAACACACACACACTTGCACACAGACAAAATTATGGCAGTTTTTGTTCTTTCCTTTTTCATGGTGACTGTTTCTGAAAATGCATGAGAACTATTCTGCTTGTTTTAGGCAATATTCCTTCTTGTGATCTTCTAATCACGATACTCAGAGGCTTAAACTAGTTTTTTATTAAAAGCTGGAAAAGCATGCATAAGTGCCTGCTAACAATCATATACAGGAACTATAGTTATAAAGGAAGCCAAGAGAATGGCCTTGAATGAATGAATAAAACAGAATATCTTTACATTGATTTACTAAGAAGCAGAAATATTTTCTCTAGCCTTCATAGTCAGAGTATAACAAGCATGCTGGCATCTTAAAGTAAATGGTCACATGAAAATAATAGTGAAAGGATTGTACAATGCAAGTCCCTAGATGACAAACACCTCTGTTTAGTTCCAACATGTTTTCTAATTACTTTTGTCAGTGATCCCATACAGGTAGTGTAGCTGTTTCCCGGAATTGGACTGTAATGATGGTGATATAGATAGATAGATAGATAGATAGATAGATAGATAGATAGATAGATA